CACCTATTTCATCCAACCCTCCACCCACCTCCCTCTTTGGTGTTTTTTTAAAAGTCTATCACCAGGAGGGGCACCTGAGTGGCTCAGTCGATTGAGTGTCTGACTTCGGCTCAGGTCACGGTCTCTCAGTCTGTGAGTTCAAGTCTCGCATCGGGCTCTGTGCTGACAGCTCAGAGCCTGGAGCTTGCTTCGGATTCTGTGTCTCCCTCTCTCTCTGCCTCTCCCCTACTTGTGCTCTGTCTCTCTCTCTCTCAAAAATAAATAAACATTAAAAAAAATTTTTTTTTAAGTCTTAATCCCCAACACAGTATTTTATCCGTTTGCATTCTAGTATCATTGGACAAACTTTACAGATTATTTCTAATTACAAAACAGCTTCAAAACTCTCCACAGAGATTCTTCTGAATAATCGAAAACACCTCATCGTCAATCACATAACTGAATTCTAAATTTTCTAAGATATTGACAAAGTACTTTCTAGACCAGAAAGGAGACAGTAATGCAACTTACCTTCAAGGAGCCTTTTCTGAGTGAACTTAATCTCTCTCGCCTACCAAAGCAGCAACCACTGTCTTAAACCCAGCAATAGAACATCATATGATGGATTTATATACACACAAATAACAGCAATTACAGACTGTTCTCAAATGGAGTCACCAACAACATGCTTGCCAAGCACAAAATGTTGGATGTTTGATTCTTTGGGCATTTAAAAAGTTTAAGGGAAAACTGAGATGGAGTTTCAAACACTGTAACATGAATTACAGGATAAAAAAGGTTTAAAGAAATCACACTACCCTAAGAGCGATCCAGTTGGGGAGCTCACCTGTTTCCAACTGGACTTCAACCAGGAATTCAGTATACTAGTTGACAAAATTGATTACAATCTTTGGTTGATAGCATGACTGTGGGGTGATCTGGATTTATTTACACTGCAATGCAAATATTCAGAACAATCTGAACTCAAGTGGCATCCCATGAGGAACAGACATCAATATCCATGCAACTAGATAATTCTATTATATGCCACTAAATCATACATAAGTTATCAAAATTAAGACACCCACATTCAGTCTTCAATGGTCTTTCTTCTCAAATAGTCAATTAAATATTAATAATAAGGTTCAGAAATAAATCAACCTAGCTGATACGTCAATCCCTAACTGATCTTCTTTAAAAATAAAAAGCCAGGGCACCTGGGTGGCTTAGTCGGTTAAGCATCCAACTCTTGATTTTAGCTCAGGTCATGATCTCATGGTGGTGAGATTGAGCCCTGTGTTGGGTTCTGTGCTGTTGCGTGGAGCCTGCTTGAGATTCTCTTTCCCCCTTCTCTGTGCCCCTCCCCCGCCCACACTGGCTCTAAATTAATTAATTAATAAAGCCAAACAACAGTTGTTTACAATAAGACATATATTCCCATCAGGCTGTAACTTTCTTAGGGTATTATTTTCAAATGTTTGGGTCATAAAGCTTAGAAAGTGATCCATCTACTCTTTCAGTGCTGCTCTAGAAAATATGTGATGCAAGTCATCTCCATCTCTGGAAAAGTCTATTCTGTATTAATACCTATCCACTACACCCATTAGACTTCTCAGTTAGCATCAAAAAAACCAAGCCCTAAACTTGAGAGGCCCTCTCTCATCCTATACTATGATAGTCATATTACTTGGTTTTAGATGACCTCTAGTAAACACCTCTTAGGAATGTACCTGTCCCTTTAATCTACATGGCCTGGAAAGGATTAGATTATTCATGCAAGAAGCTAATCCTAAACTCAACCAGTCTCTAACTCTGGGTTCAAAGAGTGAAAAAGAGTTTTTGAACCAATACCTTCATGTTCATGGATGAGGAAAATGAGGTTACCAAAGAGGTAACATGTATTCTCTGTGGTCACATACCTAATTGGTGGCAGATGCAAGAACAAAGTTCTCTCTAAAATCAAGTGAATTTGACTCAATTTAAATTAACCCCAAGGACACCATATCTTCAAATGACTTACAAAATGTATCAATGGAAAAGCTGTGTTCTATTTTGGAACATTAGCTAGCTGAGAAGCAAGTGGGAACTGGCACTGTCTCCTTCCCAGGCTGCTGATCACACTTCAATCCACAGCTCCTCCACGAGCTATGGGCATGAGTTTTGCAACAGTAGGGCATGCAAAAAAATTTCCAGGCACTCATACCACTGACCACACAGTCTTTGTGATAAGAGCCATCAACTTTGGGAATGACTTGGCAACTGCAAGCTGCGTTGCAAATCATTGGCTGAGTTTCCTATAATGGTATTTATCTTACCATTGCCAAATTCACAATTTCCTAATCCAACGAATGGATATTCTGTTTCACATGGTCTCAAATTGGACAAATTTCTCAAGGTGCTATGTGGCTTTAAGGATTTAGATTTAACCCAGTCTTTCTCAACAGGAGCATTATGACATTTTGAGGGCAATTCTTGGCTATGTGAGATTATCCAGTACATTAAAGAAGGCTTAGAATCATTGGTCCTCTGACCTTTAAATGCAAGGGTACAGTAGTAGTCCTCCCCCTTATCTGTGGTTTCATGTTCCAAGGTTTCAGTTATCCACAGTCAACCACCAACCGGAAGCAGATGATCCTTCTTCTGACAATATTGTGAGAAGGTGAACAGTAGCCTAAAGTTATGTCACAATGCCTACATCATTCACCTCACTTTAGCTCATCATGTAGACATTTTATCATCTCACACCATCAAAAGAAGTGTGAGTACAGTACAATATATTTTGAGAGAAAGAAACCACATTCACATAACTTTTATTACAGAATATTGTTATAACTATTCTTAGTTATTACTGTTCATCTTTTACTGTGGCTAATTTATAAATTAAATTTTATCATAAGTATGTATGTATGAAAAAACATAGTATGTGTAGGGTTCAGTACTATCTGTGGTTTCAGGCATCCACTAGGGGTCTTGGAAGGTATCTCCTGTAGATGAGGAGAACTACTGTAGTCCCACCAGTTACAACCCCCATACATTTACAAATGACCTTGAAGGGTAAGATACCACCACCAGTGTTAGCCTTTAGATCAACCATTAATTGAACTATAAAGTAATAAAAAATGTTTACATAAAGACTTGACCTCCACCCCCCCCCAAAAAAAACCTCAACCCCTCTTATCTGCCACTAAATACAGCACTCTATTCCTCTTTTTAGCCCAGAGATTAGATAAAATCCATTGTTCATCAATTCCTTCAAAACCAACTTTGTCTGAACTAGCTATATAATTAAGACACTTTTATTGTCAGGGAAGTAGAGTAGAAAAGTTACTGAAATGCAATCAGAGCACCCGACACTGAATTCCAGTTTTCTGGCTATTCACGCTTAGGCAAGTTATTTCCCCTCTTTAGGCCTCAGCTCTCTCATCTATTTAAATAAAAGGGGGGCGCCTGGGTGGCTCAGTCGGTTAAGTGGCCGACCTCGGCTCAGGTCATGATCTCACGGTCCGTGAGTTCGAGCCCCGCGTCAGGCTCTGTGCTGACAGCTCAGAGCCTGGAGCCTGTTTCAGATTCTGTGTCTCCCTCTCTCTGACCCTCCCCCGTTCATGCTCTGTCTCTCTCTGTCTCAAAAATAAATAAACGTTAAAAAAATTTAAAAAAAAAAAAGGCATTAGGCTACATTATGTCTCTGGTTCATTTGCAATTCTAGGAATCCAGGACATAAAACACAATTAACTTACTTAACTCTTTTCTTTTGACCTCCACATAGCTAAATGGGGGTGACCACTGACACTTAGTACCTCATCATCTTTCAGAAGCAAGGACCCTAAAGTCCCAGGAAACTAAGGCACAGCCAGACCCAGTATGGGATTTTACTACACAGCCTATATCTCTAGTATATAAAAAGGGGCTTAGGGGCGCCTGGGTGGCGCAGTCGGTTAAGCGTCCGACTTCAGCCAGGTCACGATCTCGCAGTCCGTGAGTTTGAGCCCCGCGTCAGGCTCTGGGCTGATGGCTCAGAGCCTGGAGCCTGTTTCCGATTCTGTGTCTCCCTCTCTCTCTGCCCCTCCCCCATTCATGCTCTGTCTCTCTCTGTCCCAAAAATAAATAAACGTTGAAAAAAAAAAAAAAAATTTAAAAAGGGGCTTAATTATTTTAAGATCCATTAATATAAGCACCAAGATTTACTAACAGCAATAGTCACCCTAATGTTTATCTGGGCTAGACCTATAATCTCAACCCTAGCTGTACATTAGAATCACCTGGATAGCTTTAAAAAAAAAATGCCCCAGCTCCAAACCAAGCCAATATCAAATGAATCAGAATCTCTGGAGCTCTGGAGATGGGGCTCCTTTCTTAAGGCTCCACAAAGTAACTCTGATGTACAGTGAAAACCAAGAACCACTAATCCAGGCCCTTTAATCTAAGAAATGCAAAGCAAATGACCCAAGGGTAGTATATCACATACTGGTTGTATAATCAAACATCAATAAATAAGAATAATCCTATGTTACTACTTACTGACATTCTCAATCACATATAGAGAATTCCATTTCTATTGAAAAAGGAGAAGTCTGTAACAACCCTTTGTATTGTTACTGAGGACTGGCCCTGCCAGAAATGGAATATACCTTTCTGACATGAAAGCAGTTCAAAGAAAAATCACTACAAACTTGCCCAACCCTGCAAAAGTCTTATCAGCCATTAAAATAGTTACAACTACAATGTTAGTCAAAGTAGTACAGAAGCCAAAATTTCTCAACCTAACTCTCACTTACTAGATGTCACTAAAAGACCCGGTATATAGACAGAACAGGAAACAGTTGAGAGGAACATTTAGGAAAAGACACTTTGAAAGCCTCCACTCCAGGCAAAATGCATTGTTTCCATTTCTTCATCAAAGCTTTAAGTCCAGTGATACAGGAAAAGGTGGAGCAATCTTGGCTAAAATTATTCTTGCCCTTTCCAGAACAAAATCAGTGAAACCAACAGGTCAATAAGGTCAAGTAAAATTTCGGTCTTACCTCATGTGCAAGGCCAAGCCATCCTGTAGGCTGGAAATCCCCAAATCAGAGAGCGTATCTGAGCCAACAGAAGCTGGTGACAGAGAGCCTTCCTTCTCCTCCAGTAGGTCCAGCTTCACCAGGTTGCTGATTTCATCCTCTGAGTTATCTTCAGATACAGAACCAATTATGAACCGAGAGTGCTGGCTCAGCTCCAGAGGTTTGGCCAAGGGGGATGGTTCATCCATTATTCCTTCAAAATGAGCTCTCAGAGCTATGAAGAAAATGAGTGAGAAAAGCAGGTTATGGATAATAATCTATATCTGAGGACAGCCACAGGTTATTCCTAATATACTATGGCTGGCACTTGAAAGCAGGGTAGCGTCTGAGCACTAGTTTCTTTGGCTCTTCTATTTCAGGGCCTTGGTTTTCTACAAGGGAGGAAAATCCAGATGTAACTATGCCTAAAAAATTAAAATTAGCTCCCTCTTCCTTAAAGAAATCTCTTTTAAAACTATAAGCCATTCCCAATCTCTTTATCAATTTGGTAATGCCCAAGAGATAATTATGAACAGTGGAGAAACCTCTGCAGTAGATGAAAGCTGCTTGTAATACTGTGATTTCAGTTGTCAGTACCGGGGAGAATGTGGTATAAGGATTTGGGGAGAGTGGCTGTCATTTCAAACTAGGTGTTTACACTAAACTACATAACTATCACCTCATTCCAAACACTACACTTTGAGAGGCTATGAATTTTACCTAAGCGTATTTTTGTTAAATATATTCACATAAAATATATTCATATTGATATATATACACACAGATAAATATATATAGTTTGCTTTAAAGCAAACTCCAGATGGGTATTTTTTAACTGAAAAAAAGAAATCTTTACTTCCCCTCATGAGTTTTTTCTTAAATTACATCTGTTAAAGATTCACCCAAGCATGTCTGGTTTTGGCTCTAATGTGCTGGCATTGATAGGAAGAAAGTGAATCTACTATCAAATTCAAAATCTCTAATTAAAATAAGGGAGGTGTTGGGGCGCCTGCGTGGCTCAGTTGGTTAAGCGTCCGACTTCAGCTCAGGTCATGGTCTCTGAGTTTGTAAGTTCAAGTCTCGCAGTGGGCTCTGTGCTGACAGCTCAGAGCCTGGAGGCTGCTTCAGATTCTATGTCTCCCTCTCTCTCTGCCCCTCTCCTGCTCCTGCTCTCTCTCTTAAAAATAAATAGTAAAAAAATTAAAAAATTTAAAAAATTTAAAATAAGGGAGGTGTCATCTCAAGCATAAGTTTTCTAGATATAGGGCCTTAGTAGTCATAACTGGATATTTCCAACAACTAGCACACTAATTAAAAGACCAAAACATGGCTGAAAGTCCACAAGAACAATAAAACTAAAACTAAACAATATTTATTCTGTCATTCAAAAGATCCCATTAAAAAAAACCTTCAGAACTATACATCAACTTAGTATTGAACTGCTTATATCCTAACAATTCAGAAAACAATATTCCCAATCCTGATTTCGAGGTGCTCTAAGAGATGGTATATCAATAAATAACAAATTTATTATTAATAAATTGTTTATGTTGTAGACTACTTTGAAGTGTAAGAGTAGGTGGCAAGCAGTGTTCTTTGACATTAGGTAACAAAATATCAAGATTTTAATCTTTGGGAATCACCATTAAACCTGTTAAAATTACACGTGCACCATTATTCTTATGTAATTTGTGAATCAGAGCTTATTCATTTACAAAGACAAAACAGTATTCGTAAATGATAAAGCAGTGGTTCTCAAAAAGTGTAATTTCCAGACCAGAAGCAGCAGCATCACCTCAGAATGTGTTAAAAGTACAGATTCTTGGGCCTACCATAGAGCAACTAACTGTATCACAATCTACAGGTTGGGGCCCAGTAATCTATACTTTAACAAGTCCTAAAATTTGAGAACCACTCTGCTGGAAGAATGAAACAGTAATAACAAATTGCCAGAAATGCTAAAAATATTACTGCTAGATATTTCTTAAAAGTGAGTTAGAGATTACGTAAGCTAACTTTTATTTTAAAAACTAGAATCAAATATAAAAATATCATGGAACAGGAAAAACTTGACATCTAAATTTACTATACATTTCTCCCTTGGAATATTAGGTTTCATTAAAATAACTGTTTTTAAATGTCTCCAAATTTTATATAGACATTCACTTCCAGAACTCTAAAAAAACTCAAATCATTCAAAAAGAGGAAAAAGGGAGAGAAGGAGAAAGTGAGGGAAGGAAGGAGAGAAAGTTCTAACAGACTGACCAGTCTGAAGAACACTAAAAGGTACAGTAACAAAAAAGGCTACTTCTTTCACATTTTAGAGCCGTAAACAATCAAGTTTAAAAAAAACAAAAACAAAAACAGGAGACCTCCCTCCCCCACCCCCACAAAATTCCAAACTCCATCTCAACTAACACAGAAAATAATGGCTGCCTTCTTCACAAGAGAAATAAGTAAGGCACTCTTCTAGTTTAGTGTGACCAAAATTAGATGACTACACAAAAAAAATAAAATTCAGGATAAAGAAGCAATTCTCTGATTTCATGGGAGAAGAAGAAGACATGATTAACTAATAAATGAGAGGCTCCGTAAGGTCAACTTCAAACTTTTCCTTCCTAGCCAAGAAGAACAGGAAGGCAGCCTTCTTGAGGATTGGAAGCAGCTCAGCTGTCAGCGCTAAAGAGCCCATCCACTAACCAGCAATTCTACTGAGTGGTATTCCCAGCCACAAGCCTGCAAACCATCAGAAAAGAGAGGTCATGTATGGAAAATCACTGAGTAGCTACCCAGCCACTCTAGAAGCTACTCTACAGTCCGTCCCATTTCCGCTGATTCTAGTCCTGAATTAAAGAGAAAAGGGGATGGAATACTACCATGGTCAGACCATTCACTTCAGGTTATACCCCCAAATCTACCTATGTCCTTTCACAGAAGGCAACTTTTAACATAAAAGCTTACAGTTTAATATTTTAGCACATGAACATAAAATGTTTATGACACTGTAAACATGAAAGAGCATTATTTGTAACTGACCTCTTATAATTCTTACTGTCTGAGCAGATATCCACCTCCAAAAAGAACTAAAGAGAGAAAGACAGAGAGAGATTTGAAGTGTTTTTTTTAAGTAACCCAAATTTTAGCAATTCCTGTTTTGCTCAGCATAATACAAAACTGATAAAGTATCATTTTTCTAGTCAAATCTATTATTTAACTTAAAACATACAGTTCAGTTGTTTATTATTTGTTCAAATCTATAAATAAAAAACATTACATTCAAAGACTTTATTTTTCATGAGAATAATGAACAATAATCCAAGCTTACCATTTCACAAGTGGCCTTTTCCAATTGCATACTTCAATGAGCACATTCCAACCTTATGATTTCTAAGATTTCATCAAAAAAGAGGCAGTTGGGAAGAAGAGAACCACTAGACTCCCTACAACTCAGTTAGGCTCTGATTATGTTTACAAATGGTTTATACCCATGCACAAAGTTGGAAGCCAGGAAGAGGACGGATCTCTCATTAAATTAAGTTCCTAAACCTCTAAGGGACCAAGGAGTCTCTACTTACTTCCCAAATCCTGGGTTTTCCTTCTATGCCACAGACTTAAATGTATCCAGGGTAAAAACTCTCAACTTTCATTATAACAATCATCTGTGGAGCTACTTATTTATTTAAATTAAAAAGTTGTTTTTTATTTGGATATGATTGACACACAATGTTACATTAGTTTCAGGCCTGTGAAGCTTTTTAAAAACATGGATGTTTAAACTCCACCCCAGATTGACAGAATCAGAATCACTGCTGGAGGCCCAGACATCAGAATAGAGTTCCACAGTTGATTGACACTGATATATATCCAGGCTTGAGAACCACTGGTCTATGGTGGAGAAGAAATCCAGAACTTCTAAGGGATGACCTTGAATGACAAGTGACAGGATTGGGGACTGTGCAAATATGTTAACTGGGAAAGCTGGATTTGCCCAATTATGTAGTCTAAACTAGCATTATTCCCTACAATTGGGTGTAGGGAAGGGGAGTGCGAAAAGAAAGGAAAACGAAAGTAGTTTGGGTCAGATGTAACCAGAGGTGCAGAGGTGGAACTAGAGTCAAAATCTAGGACTCAAGATCAAATTCTGACTCTGCCAAATGCTCGCAGTGCAAACTTGAACAAGTCACTTAATGTCTCTGAGCCTCCTCATCTGGAAAAATAAAAAGGTCATGGGATTGCTGTGAAGACTAAAAGTATATGAAATGACTCTGTAAATTATTATGTACTAGACTAGTGTTTTTCAAACTATGGGCAACCACAAGCAAAATACTAAGAAATAAATTTACTGGGTTACAATCAACATTTTATTTTTTTTTTTTTTTTTTTAAATTTTTTTTTCAACGTTTTTATTTATTTTTGGGACAGAAGACAGAGCATGAACGGGGAGGGACAGAGAGAGGGAGACACAAGAATCCGGAAATAGGCTCCAGGCTCGACGCAATCAGCCCAGAGCCTGACGAGCTCCTGAACTCATGGACCGTGAGATGGTGACCTGCTGAAGGCAAGCCGGACGGCAGCTTAACCCATTCTGAAAGCTCGCCACCAGAAGCGCCCACAATCAACATTTTAAAAACAAAGGGACAGGCACCTGGCTGGCTGAGTCAGCAGAACATGTGACTCTTGATCTCAAGGTCATGAGTTTGAACCCCAAGTTGGGCACAGTCATCAAAAATGAAATAGAACAGGGATGCCTGGGTGGCCCAGTGGGTTAAGCATCCAGCTCTTGTTTTCGGCTTGGGTCATGATCTCACGGTTCTTTAGTTCAAGCCCTGTGTCGGGCTCCACGCTTGCAGCACGATGCTAGCTTGGGATTCTCTCTCCCTCCCTCGTTCTCTGCCCTTCCCCTGCTTGTGTGTGCTCTCTCTCTCTCAAAATTGATAAACTTAAAAAATGAAACAGAGCAGAGGCACCTGGGTGGCTCAGTCAGTTAAGCATCCGACTTCAGCTCAGGTCATGAGCTCGCAGTGAGTTTGAGCCCCATGTCAGGCTCTGTGCTGACAGCTCAGAGCCTGGGACCTGCTTCAGATTCTGTTTCCCTCTCTCTCTGTCCCTCCCCTCCCTTGCCCTCTGTCTCTCTCTAATATAAACATTAAAAAAATTTTTAAATAAATGAAATAAAATAAAATATCTGATCGAAATTCTGTTTCAGAAGCTTCAGATCTTTAGATTTTTTTTTTTTTTCCCCAATTAGTAAAGCCCAGTGCCTACTGCTCTATCATCCTGATAAAAGCCTGAAGACTTATTCTCTGGAGAGGGTTAAACAAGACATTTCTAGACAGGGACATACCAGAAACAGTAAAGGGGAGAGCATCATGTTGAAAATGGAGAAATTAAGCAAGCATATTGAATAAGAGCTCCCAGCCTTCTTGCCCCAATTTTCACCAATCAGGAGGGAAATACAGAAAGGATCCTGCTTTGAAGATTCTAACTGGACCAGGGGGAAAAAACCTCAAGTAGTAATATTGGGGTTCACTAATTGTCACACCAGGTCAACCTACAACAAAGTTAATCAATTCCCCCCTCTTAAAATTAAGCAATTAAGGATTACTAGATGTCTTAGAGAAACCTCCAATGTGAAGGAATCAAAACCAAATAACTACCTGTAGAAAAAAAAAAGTGCATTTAGAAGAAAGGGATTATGTAGAACAAGAAAATATTAAAAAGACATGATTTTATATGTGGAAATGTTTTTTGAGGAAACAGAAAAGCCTGTCCTAAATTCATGTGGAATTCCCAAGGGACCCCCAAATAGCCAAAACAATCTTGAAAAAGAACAAAACTGGAAGACCCATGCTTCCTGACTTTAAAACTTACTACAAAGCTGCAGTATTAACATAAAGACAGATATATAGACCTGTGAAACAGAACAGAGAGCTCCAAAAGAATGAGATCTTGCTATTTGCGATAACATGGATGGACTTAGAGGGTATAATGCTAAGTGAAATAAGTCAGAGAAAGATAAATACCATAATTCCACTCAAATGTGGAATTTAAGAAACAAAACAAATGAATAAAGAAAAAGAGGAAAAAACACTCTTTTTTAAAAGACTTTTAAAAATTTTTTTTCAATTAATTTTTTAAATTTATTTTTTAATGTTTATTTATTTTTGAGAGACAGAGAGAGACAGAGTGTGAGTGGGGGAGGAGCAGAGAGAGAGGGAGACACAGAATCCAAAGCAGGCTCCAGGCTCTGAGCTGTCAGCACAGAGCCTGTCGTGGGGCTCGAACTCACAGACTGTGAGATCATGACCTGAGCCAAAGTCCGCACTTAACCAACTGAGCCACCCAGGTGCCCCATTAATTTATTTCAAGAGAGAGAGAGAGAAAGAGCACAAGTGGAGGAGGGTCAGAGAGAGGGAGAAAGAGAATCCCAAGTGGGCTCCACGCCTCCAGCAGAGCCTGACATGGGACCAGATCCTACAAACCATGAGATCGTGACCTGAGCTGAAATCAAGAGTCAGATGCTCAACTGACTGGGACACACAGGTGCCCCAAAAAACCAGACTCTTAAAAACAGAGAACAAGCTGGTGGTTGCCAGAGGGAAGGTAGGGGGAGGAGGAGGATGGGTGAAATAAAGAGCCTTAAGAATACACTTTACCATGATGAGCACTGAATAATGCTTAGAATTATTGAATTATACTGTACACCTTAAATTAATATAACACTGTATGTTAATTACACATCAATTAAAAAAAAAAAGAGAGAGCCCAGAAATAAACCCTCCCATATATGGTCAAATGATATTTGACATGGTGCTAATAAGACATTCAATAAAGAAAGGACAGCCTTTTCAACAAATGGTGCTAGGAAAACTGGATCTCTACATATAAACAAATAAGCTGAACATTCCCCTCAGAATTTAACTCAGAATGCATCAAGGCTCTAAAATTTAAAACATGAACCAAGAAAACTCTTACAAGAAACATAAGACAAAAGCTTCATAACATTGAATTTGGAAAAGATTTCTTGGATATGACACCAAAAGCACAGGTAACAAAAGAAAAAACAGACTGGACTTCTTGAAAATTAAAAAATTTTGTACATCAAAAGACACTATCAACAGAGGAAAAAGGCAACCCAAAGAATAGGAGAAAATATTTGCAAATCACGTATCTGATAAGAGATTAATATCCAGAATATATAAAGAACTCCTGAAAGTCAACCATCAACAAACCCAATTTAAAACCAGGCAAAGGGCTGGGGCACCTGGGTGGCGCAGTCGGTTAAGCGTCCGACTTCAGCCAGGTCATGATCTCGAGGTCCGTGAGTTCGAGCCCCGCGTCAGGCTCTGGGCTGATGGCTCAGAGCCTGGAGCCTGTTTCCGATTCTGTGTCTCCCTCTCTCTCTGCCCCTCCCCCGTTCATGCTCTGTCTCTCTCTGTCCCAAAAATAAATAAACGTTGAAAAAAAAATTTAAAAAAAAAAAAAAAAAAAAAAAAAAAAAAAAAAAAAAAAAAAAAAAAACCAGGCAAAGGGGGCGCCTGGGTGGCTTGGTCGGTTAAGCGTCCGACTTCAGCTCAGGTCATGATCTCACGGCCCGTGAGTTCGAGCCCCGCATCGGGCTCTGTGCTGACCGCTCAGAGCCTGCAGCCTGTTTCAGATTCTGTGTCTCCCTCTGTCTCTGCCCCTCCCCTGTTCATGCTCTGTCTCTCTCTGTCTCAAAAATAAATAAACGTTGAAAAAAAAATTAAAAAAAAAAAACAGGCAAAGGACTTAAAATGACATTTCTCTAAAGAAGATAGACAAGTGGCCAATAAGCACATCAATATGCGCAACACACTAATTATTAGAGAGATACAAATTAAAACTACAATAAGATACCAACCCATACCCATTAGGATAGCCACCATCAAAAAAAACAGAAAACAAGTGTTGGCATGAACGTGGAGAAACTGGAACCCTTGGGCACCACTGGTGGGAACGTAAACTGTACCGCCACTGTGGAAAACAGTATGGTGGCTCCTCAAAAAATTAAAAATAGAATTACCATATGATCCAGCAATTCCACTTTTGGATACATAC